TAACCCAGGTGGTGGCCGCCCGCGGCGGCGGCGGCGGGGCTGTGCGCCGGCGGGTGGGGCGACGACGAGGGCTTGAAATGGAAGAGCGGGAAGCGCGCACCGGCCACCGAGGGCACCGCCTTCATCTGCGGATCCAGCAGCGGGCCCGGAGCAAGGCAGCCGGGAGCAGAGGGCAGCGTGTCGTCCCACAGTGCGCCGGCCTGCGGGGGGAAGCCCTGCGTGGTGGGGGTGGACGGCGGGGACTGCTTGAAGTACATGGAGGTGCTGGGCAGTACTTCGTCCTCTGGACCAGACGGAGGAGGAGGGATGGATGGCTGCTGCTGCTGCTGTGGCTGTGGCTGCTGTTGCTGGTGATGGTGGTGGTGGTGGTGATGGTGGTGATGGTGATGGTGGTACCCGTGCGCGCGGCCCTCCTCCATCTTGATCAAAGACCTTGGCCCCGACGGCTGCATTTGGTACAGGCAGGAGGGTTTGAGTTCATAGCTGCTTCCCTCCATGAAAGTACTGAAGCTGGGCAAGGACGTCGTGGCCGTGGCCGTGATCTCCGTGCTGCTGAGGTTCATGGTCAGCTTGTCGTAGTCAGGGTTCATGATTTCCGCGGTGTATTCCGAGCCATAGGTCTGCACTGCATAACTGTAGCCTGGAGGCGAAGGGCTATACTGGGCTTGCACGCAGGGCATATCTGCAGGGACAGGCAAGAAGGTCTCAGGAGCAAGGCCACACTTCTTTCCTGGTTAACAGGCAGCATGGAATTAACTGCTGTCTAAATGTGGGAAGCCAGAGGAGGTGACATCCTCTCCTCCTTCTGGTGGCTTACTCTCTTCCTCCCTGGCAAGACAGCTGAATCCCCAGCGAACAAAGAGCCTGAGGGACACCAGAAGCTGGCCTACCCAGAATATCTGCACCCATCTTCTCTTCCTTGCTTTATTCTCCACCAGATCTGAAAACTTGATGTCTTCTCTCATAAACCCAGAGATTATATTATTAATGATGAATTATTATTATAAGTAGCTTTGAGTCCTATAAATTTAAGGTAGTAACCTCCTCAGCCATAAGGCAGGAGGACAAAAGGAAAGCCAGTGAATGCTCTGTTGGTTAATTTTAGGAGAAAGAGGCTATTGGTTCTTCCATGGCGCGCACGCGCGAATACACACACACACACACACACACACACACACACACACACACACACACACTGATTTGTAAACCTACCAGTTAGTCAAAAAGATGTCCTATGTGGGACTTACTGGCCAAGAGAGATGGTGACATTGTAACATTTTACAAGTGCCAACTGAGGCTGCCCACACACGTCCTGGTGGTTGGTTGCTTCCCACCCCCTTCCCATTCCTCTCCACGAGACTAGCAGCCTGTACAAACTGGACCCTGTTGATGACTTCAGCCAGCTAGGTGGCGAAGTGGGAATGTAGGCCCAGGAAATGGACTCGGGGGAGTTTGTGCCATCTGCAAAGAAAAAGATCAGCAGCTGCAACAGCACACCCACCAAATCTGCTCTCTGCCATACACTACACACACACACACACACACACACACACACACACACACACACACACACAC